TGTTCATAGCAATATCTCGCTCTCTGAAACATTGGGATGCCTTGCCCATCTCTTTCCTCGGACGCATTAACGTTCTAAAAATGACCGTGTTACCCAAACTCTTGTACCTGTTTGCGACTCTCCCCGTTCCTATGTCCAAGCTTCACTCCCTTCAGAAATCTTTTCTGCACTTTATTTGGCACAATAATCGGCACAGGATTTCACGTTCTGTTCTGCTCTCTCCGCGCTCTAGGGGAGGATTGGGAGCGCCGGATATAATCAAGTATTATTATGCGACTCACCTTCGTTTCCTTATGTCATGGTCCACGCAATACCCTCCCAATACATGGACTGAGATTGAATCTTTACAACTGTCCCCAGTTCATCCATGTTCCCTTCTTTGATCAACCGCGGCAGTGGATGTCTCTTCCTTCCGTCATCTATTCCTTGGTCCCATGCAATTTTCATTGATGGTAAGGCAGAAATGTAAGGCTCAATTCACGCTGGCCTCTGGATGCCCCCCTCTGACAAAAATATCCTCTATAACCCTAATCTGCCAGACAATATGGCCATATCCCGGATGTCTCTTTGGGTGGTATCCAACCTTTTTCAATTGCGTCACTTGGTACATCCGGTGACTCGTAAACTACATTCATTCCCGGATCTCCAGAAAAAAGCTTCCTTACCTCCTCATCACCTATATATATATTTCCAAATACGCCATTTTTTTCTCTACTTTATCATCCTCATTGATCCTGGGGAAGCCTACACCCTTCGAACGTTTATGTATGCAGGGCCCCCACCAAAGGGGTATCATCTCCAATACTTATAAACTTCTTATGGACGCATCCCCTTTATCTAATTAAACTCACCTTTACATGCGTAGGTGGTCTCAGTTTGTACAACGTGATATTGATTTACTAACGTGGAAGACTATTTGGGTAAATGCATCTAAATCTTCTGTCTGTGTGGTTTTTAAGGAAAACATTTACAAGATTATGATGTTATGGTACAAAACACCTGAGGTTCTTCATGCTTTCAACCCGAGTGCTTCTCCTGTCTGCTGGCGCTGTGGTAGGGATTCTGGTTCTCTCTATCATATTTTTTGGACATGTAAATCTATTGTTCCTTTTTGGGAGGAAGTCCGTTCCTTGTTGCAATCAATGCTGCATGCCTCGCTCCCTTTTGACCCTCTGCATTTTTTGCTGGGCTTGCCATTCCCGGGTCTATCTAAACCAGCCAGAAAACTTGCTGCTCATGTGCTGACCGCAGCCAGGAGAAGTATTCCTATAGGTTGGTTATCTTCTACTCCCCCTACAATGCTGACTTTGTACAAACTTATTGCTGAAGTAAGACGGATGGAGTATTTGACTGCCTTACATAATAGTTCATCTGCTGTATTTGAGTTGATTTGGCTCCCGTGGGATTCCTTCATTTCCTCTTTGCCGGCCCGAATCTAAGATCCTGATTGTTTCCGCACTGATTTTGTATGACTCTGTATGACTTTATTGGATGTGTAGTTATGCCATCGATGTTTCTTTTGGTTATGTTTATAATTTTACTTATTTGAAAACCAATAAAAATTGTTAATACAAAAAAAAAGAAATGGCAGTCATCAGGAACAGTGGAAGTTAAAGCAAGATCTGGAAGACCAAGAAAAATATCAGACAGAACAGCTCGCAGGATTGTGAGAAAAACAATTCAAAAAAACCCACGTTTGACTGCACGATCCCTCCAGAAAGATCTGGCAGACACTGGAGTTGTGGTACACTATTCCACTATAAAGAGATACTTGTATAAATATGGTCTTCATGGAAAAGTCATCAGAAGAAAACCTCTTCTACGTCCTCACCACAAAAATCATCGTTTGAACTTTGCAAATGAACATATAGACAAGCCTGATGCATTTTGGAAACAAGTTCTGTGGACCGATGAGGTTAAAATTTAACTTTTTGGCCGGAAGGAGCAAAGGTACGTTTGGAGAAGAAGGGGCACAGAATTTAATGAAAAGAACCTCTGTCCAACTGTTAAGCATGGGGTTGGATCAATCATGCTTTGGGGTTGTGTTGCAGCCAGTGGCACAGGGAACATCTCACGAGTAGAAGGAAAAATGGATTCCATAAAATTTCAGCAAATTTTGGATGGTAACTTGATGCCATCTGTGAAAAAGCTGAACTTAAAGAGAGGATGGCTTCTACAAATGGATAATGATCCTAAACACACCTCGAAATCCACGGGGGATTACATCAAGAGGCGTAAACTGAAGGTTTTGCCATGGCCTTCACAATCTCCTGACCTCAACATAATTGAAAATCTATGGATAGACCCTAAAAGAGCAGTGCGTGACAGACAGCCCAGAAATCTCAACGAATTGGAAGACTCTTGTAAGGAAGAATGGGCAAAGATACCTCAAACAAGAATTGAAAGACTCTTGGCTGGCTACAAAAAGCGTTTACAAGCTGTGATACTTGCCAAAGGGGGCAGTACAAGATATTAACTCTGCAGGGTGCCCAAACTTTTGCAGACGCCATTTTTTTTGTTTTCTGTTATTTTGAAAGTGTAAATGATGGAAATAAAATCTAACTTTTGTTGACATATAAGAATGTCTAATCTGTAATTTGATGCCTTTTGGAGACTTTTCCATCTTTCCTTGGCTTCTTTATGCACATTAATACAGATTTTAGGCTGGGGTGACCAAACTTTCGATCCCCACTGTATATTCCTGGATTAATTTACCTGCTTACATTGTACTCTTACTTGCTTATTTTCTATGAAGATGTTATCAATCCGTGTCATTACATGCTTCCTTTTTGTTGTGCTTTGTTTTCTTTTCATACATATTGCTCAATTTACATTCATTTGTGACTTTTGTACCATTGTGTATTATGGCATGCTTTGTAAATTGACATTGTTTTTCTTCTTTCTAATAAAAGAGTTTGTAAACAAAAAAAATATAGAGATTTCTTTTAATGCATTTGATTGCCTATGCGTTTTTTAATTTTTTTAGCTATAAAAAATGACAGACAATTTTGATAAAAAAACAATATTTTTTGCTATTAAACATATCTAGTAAAAAATTAAAAAAATCAAATTTCATCATAAATTTAGGCCAAAATGTATTCTGCTCCATGTCTTTGCTGAAAAAAAATCCCAATAAGTATAAATTAAATGGTTTAAGTGAAAGGTATAGTATTTACAAATGGCAATATATATTGGAATGCTTTGGGTTTTTAAATTTTTTTACTAGTAGTGGCGGCGATCAGCGACTTATAGTTGGACTGCATTGGGCATTCTGACACTGGAGGGAACTGACTTGGTGTCACTGACATCCCCAGTGACACAAATACAGTGATCAGTGCTAATAAAAAACACTGACACTGTACTAATGGCACTGGGCAGGGGTTAACATGTGGTGCGATCAAAGGGTTAACTGTGTGCTATTTCACAGTATGCTGTGTGAGTGCTTTTCACTGTAAGCACGCTGCTTTGTATGGCTCTGCTATGACAGGGTAGAGTTCTGTGTTGTTTACACACAGGTCTCTCCACATCGGAGATAATCAGTGATCACTGGGTGCCAGCGAATAATCACCTGCCGGAATCCTGTGATTGGCAGCCAAGGCCGCAAATGGCAGTGTGGGTAGAAAGGCAGGGATGCGCAAAATCATGTGTGTATATATATATATATATATATATATATATATATATATGTGATATTTCATTTCCATGTAGGGTATGTGAGCAAGCACTCTGATGTAGCCCATAACCTCAAGAGCTGCTGCCCAGACTCCTCTCCCAGGCAGAGTGATATCAAGTGCACTTCACCTGAGACCTTTCTGACAGCTTGGAGAGTGATGCCAGCAGAAACCCAAAGAGGTTTTTGCAATATGCACCCATTTAAAATGGTTAACAACTATTAGGCTGCTTTCATATGGATCCACTGGTGCAACGCCGAGAAGCTTAACTGCACTGAGCCATAGACTTCTATTACATCCTGGTGTTGTAGTGTTGGTGTGGCCAAATGGAAGAGAAAGCTCTCCCTCACACCTCCTGTCCTGTTTGTCTCCTGAGATGATGACAGGGTAAGACAGGACATGGATGGACCCCGTGCACCTGTAGTAAACCTTGACCATCAGAAGAACTGGATCTTGCAATGAAGTAGAATTTGAAGATTGACTGCTGGATGTTCTCATGGGGGTTGCAGAAGTAGGAGAAAGGGACATGGTCAGACAGGCAGACAAGTGGGCAGCAGAAGAACAGATTAAGAAAACAAGAGAGTAAACAGAAGCCAGGCCGAGGTAATTATCACAAAGGCAGAAGATGAGCCAAAGAGATAAGTAAGGTGTGGAGCAGAGAAGCAAGCCAGAGACCAGGAATGATTTAGATCAGTAGTTAGAAGGCAAATCGGTTATTTCACAAGAGCAAGCAGGGTCTGGTTACAGGTCACAGAAGCTGATGACCGCTTAGCACTGACATTGAGTCTTGCAGTGCTTTAAATAGGCCACTGGGTGCCAAAGTCAATTCAAACATTCATGCTTATGCTCATGTGCACTGTCATGTGTATGCACATGTGTAGATGCACGCATGACTCTGGTTCTGTGGACTGTTCTGCTCACATGCTTAGTTCTTTCAGGGTCTCGGTTTTCCATGGACAAAACCGCAGAGATTCTGAGGGCTGGACAATAAGTGCAAAAGGGCAGCTACGTTGGGCAAAAGGGGTATACAGTTATACAGTATTTATAAATTTAGGTGTAAAGATTTAAGAAGTTTGATGGTATCAAAAAGATTAAATTTTACCTAAAAAAAATAAATATATATATATATATATATATATATATATATATATATATATATATACATAATATAGTATATATGAATATACATTGTATATATGAATATCAGCAAATAGTTCATGAGGTTATTCACTGCTGTAGAAAAAAATATGAGGTAGAGGATGTGGACAATAAATATTTACATGCAATAGTCTGTTTTTCTCTTGTTCCTGTAATATTTTTCCATTTAAAATAGGGGATCAACCAAACTGCATTTACAGACTTGTTTCTCTTGGGTTCCAGAACAGTAAAGATCTAAAAATTCTAATTACATTTTTTTTACTTGTGATTTACTGTATGACAATATTTGGGAACTTCTTGATCATCATACTAGTGTCCTATAACAAAACCTTGCAATCTCCCATGTACTTCTTCCTTACACAGTTGTCTACAAATGACATTCTACTGACATCAGTCATTGTTCCCAACACACTCTATGTTTCGCTAAATGATGGTGGAACAATTTCTTTTGTTGGCTGCATCACCCAGTTTTATTTCTTTGGTGCATCAGAAACCTTGGAGAGCCTTCTTCTTACAGTGATGTCCTATGATCGATATTTGGCCATCTGTAAACCATTGCATTATTCTGTTTTGATGCATAGATGTCTTTGTTTGAAAATTACTATTGTCTCATGGATGTTAAGCATCTCAGTAATACTGACTGATACTCTATCATTATCTACATTAGAGTTCTGCAAAACTAATATTATTGACCATTTCTTTTGTGACCTGGATCCATTGATGAAAATTTCTTGCTCTGATACATATTTTCTTCAGTTAGAAGTTTCTTTACTAAGTGCTCCACTTTTAATTGTGCCATTTGTAATGATTGTGATATCATATGTTTATATTATTCTTGCCATACTGAGGATCCAGTCTAAGGCTGGTAGGCAGAAGGCCTTCTCCACCTGTAGTTCTCACCTGAGTGTGGTGATCATGTTTTTTGGATCTCTAATAGGCATTTATGTTCTCCCAAGCAGAGAACAGACACTGAACATCAGTAAGATTTTGTCGTTGTATTATACTGTGGTGATCCCTTTGCTGAACCCCATTATCTACAGCCTAAGGAACCAGGATATTAAAAAAGCCTTGGAAAAAAATATAAGAAAAATTATTGTTACATAGAAACCTGAGATTAATTTGTGACCAGTTCTCTTTGTTCTAAGTCAGTTTAAAGCTGAAGTTAAATATACTTTCATGTACAGGTTGTATAGCGAGGGCTACCTGTAAATAATGTAATTACATGAAATGTAAAAAGCTGCTAGAACACCAAAAGGAAACCAACAGACCTTTCAAAAAGATTGAAACGATAAAACGGTGCAGCGCTAGGAAATAGAGTGCAACTGAAGTATTATGAATTGTATGCAAAACCGTTATAGAAGACACAGTGTGTAATGTGATTAATGATCACAGTAAATTATAATGTCCAGATCACAAGATATATATCATATAAATCTTGCAGGATCCTATCTGTGGTGATAGTATATAATCCAGAGGTGAAGACTGTTAGATAAATAGAATGCCCTGCACCCTATGAGGACGTGCTTAGCACGAAACGCGTCAGGGCTACAGCATCTGGATATCTAGCCACCGCTGGTGGCCATCCTGAATTTTTGGTCAGTATTGTTTTTGTTCACTATCACTTTGAATTAAAGTTCATCTACGCAATATTACACTATGTGGCGTCCCTTATTGGGCTCTCTTTGGGAGCACCAACTTCCGCAGTGTCTGCCTTAAAGGGGGACCCCGGATGCCTGTGACTGCTTGATGAATCTTGGAACCTTAACATTACGAGTGAGCAGAGGATGAGGTGGAATGCAGCCTGACCAGAATACTGATGACCTAGGTGTTTGACGAGAAAGGAAACTTCTCTCATGCGTATTTAATACGCACTTCTGGTGAGTGCGCATTCTATTTATCTAGCAGTCTTCACCTCTGGATTATATACTATCACCACAGACAGGATCCTGCAAGATTTATATGATATATATCTTGTGATCTAGACATTATAATTTACTGTGATCATTAATCACATTACACACTGTGTCTTCTATAACGGTTTTGCATACTATTCATAATACTTCAGTTGCCATTTTCACTCTATTTCCTAGCGCTGCACCGTTTTATCATTTAAATATACATTCAGTTTCCCTTCCCTGGTTCCTCCCATACTATTACCATATTAACATGTTAATAAATGTTTGAATAAAATCCATTCTGTTTTCATGATTTGCTTTTTTTAAACTTACCACTGGGTCTCTTTGTGGTTCTTTATGCATGACAGGCAGATCATGAATGGTGACCCAGCAGGATGCTGTACAGAGCTTTTTAAAAACATCACAGCACCCAAAAAGTTTTTAGTCCTAGGGCAAGCAGCAGGCAAGATCTTCAGAAGATTTTGCAAATATCAAAATGTTTTGAGGAGTAGGCATTCCTAGGGACATTGCATTTAAACTCAAACCACCCTAGGTACAACCTAAATGTTATGCCATCTGAAACCTAATGAATAAAAAGAAAAGGTCAGGAAAAGTCATGTCGGGAATTAATGGATAGATGATACTGAACATTTTCCAGCCAGGAAATGAGGAGGGCTCCATCTGCAGCTTCTAATAAACATTGTGAGAAACTCAATGTGTACAATAAAATCATAGTATGGTACTTGACTACAATAAATGGATCTTAACCCTTTGAGGACCAAGGGACGTATTTGTCCCATGTTTTTAATTGCATGTATCATCTGATTAAGAACTTAAAACTCTTTTTTTTTTTTGGTTTGAGTCAAAATTTTAGTTCTTATCAACAAACAACAAATGGATCTAGCTTTTTGGCAATTATTTCATTAGTTACAGCAACTGAAGTGTACGAACTTTAAAAACAAAAAAAAATTTGATTCTTTTGGCGTTCCAAAATCTTACGGTCCTCAAAGGGTTAAACCCCTGTGCAAAGCTGAAGGTACTGCTGAATTGCATATTTAGGAGTGGAGGGTGGGCAGGAGTTGTTCCACAAATAAATGTGGTGTTCAGGTATTAACCAATGCAAGTAGAATGGACAGTTAAAATGATGGTGTGCAGCTTGAACTGGATGGGTAAAACCAGGGCTGCCCCACACAACATCAGAACTGGATGTGATAGAAATAAAAAGTTCCCAGCATAGGAGCACACACTATTGTACCCTTGGTCTTAAATAATAAGTGGATAATTCCAATAATAATAATATTCAGTGCTATAAATCAGTAGTGACAGAAAAAGCCACCAGTTTCTAATAAGCTCCAGCCATTTTAATAAAAGATATAAAGTCAGGTTTAGCACAGTGGCTAAATGGCCCTGACATTACTAGGGTCATTGGTTCAAATCCCAGCCATGGCACCTCCTGCCTGGAGTTTACATGTTCTCCCTGTGCCTGCGTGGGTTTTCTCCGGGTACTCCCACACTCCAAAAACATGCTGGTAGGTTAATTGGATCCTGTCTAAATTGTCCCTAGTATATGTATGTATGAATGTGAGTTAGGGACCTTAGATTTTACACCCCTTGAGGGTTAGGGGCTGATGTGAATGTACAATATATATGTAAAGCGCTGCAAAAATGGACGGCGCTATATAAGTAACTGAAATAAATATAAGAAAGTTCATATAAAATTTTGGGCACTTTGATTGTTATAGTTACATAGTTACATAGTTAGTCTGGCTGAAAAAAGACAAAAGTCCATCCAGTTCAACCGTAGAAAAAAAAAAGTTATAATCCTACACCCACAGTTGATCCAGAGGAAGGCAAAAAAAAACCTAGCAAAGCATGATCCAATTTGCTCCTGCAGGGAAAAAAATTCCTTCCTGACCCCCTGAGAGACAATCGGATATTCCCTGGATCAACTTTACCTATAAATGTTATATCCAGTTATATTCTGTGTATCCAAGAAACAATCCAGGACTTTCATACAGCAATCCACTGAGCTGGCCACAACCAACTCTTGAGGGAGACTATCCCACATTCTCAGCTCTCACTGTGAAGAAAACTTTCCATGTTTGGAGATTAAATTTCTTTTCCTCCAGATGTAAAGAGCGCCCCCTTGTCCTCTGTTATGTTATGGCTTACATTAAAATAATTGCGCCAGGTATAAGCCTTTCATTGTCTCTGTGATGAGCTCCATGGTGGAATACAATCTATTCAGGTGTCTCCAAAAGGGAAGATGTTGCAAGACAATGTCCGGTGGCTGCTGAGTCACCAGAAGTGACATCACAAAGATCGAGATCATCTCCAATAAACTCTGCAACGATAGAGAAGTGCGAGTGCTTACAGAAACAGCATGTAAAAGTCAGTAGTTATGACAATGTATTTCGGCACGTGGCCCTTTCTTCAGGTCAGGGTGGCCAGGAGTTCCCCTTTTGGGGCACTGTAGAAAAGTGAGGATGCATTGTGACCATCCTGTCATGTATGGCATACCAAGGCAGAAGAGCAATCCAAGATTTTAAAGCATAAAGAAGATAAGTTACATATCAGAAAACCAGGCCAAGGCTTTAGTTTACAAAGGAAAGGGCTTCCAAAGTTAACAAAGGGCCAATTTAGACAGGAACCAATTAACCTACCAGTATGTCTTTGGAGTGTGGAAGAAAACCAAAGTAAAAGGAGGAAACCCATGCAGGCACAGGGAGAACATGAAAACTCCAGGCAGGTATTGCATTGGTCAGGATTCAGGCCTGGGGGTCCTGGGGAGCCTTCACAATAGGCAAGGAATCAGAATGAGCATGCACCACATAAGGAGTGTGTCGATATGGAGCGTTCTAAAGTGCTCACTGCCTCCTGATTTGAGCGGTGTTGCCTGTTCGGGTCATGGACTGGGAAGGCAGAGAACCTATAGTGACTGTGCCCCTGGGAGTTGGTCACCCCAGGGGTTTTCTTAGTAGCGCTATGAGACTGGAAAACCCCAGTGTAAATGAGCAAAGGGTTTTGTTATCACTCAAGTTTTTCTGCACTGCACCTCTGGGGCTAGGCCTTTTGGTCAAAATGTTTGTTACTGGGCTATAAAACCTAGCCAATGCACTAGCACTGGCACTTCGTTATTTATTTTTCTCTTTACATGTTTGTCACTTTGGACTTTTGTCTGTTTTTCTTTTTTTCACTTGGATGCAGGGTGTGGGTACTTAGGACTTCCCTGAAGTCTAGGGGGAGTAAGTGTAGCTATTAGGTTCCTTCCTCCCCTGAACTGGTGGGTATCTCTTTGAGAGAGCCCATTACCTAGTACTTAGTAATCAACTTTGGATCTGAATGAGGAGAGCTTGTTGGACCACGAGTGTATATTGCACTTGTCAGGAGCCTTGCATCCTGGGTGGTCAGGGAAAGTGCCTAGTTGTTTAGGAGGTAGACTAGAGACACACTCTTGAGTACACTTTTTGTGTGTGTTTTTCACATGCACTTTTTTGTTCACTTAATTGGTGTGTTGTTTTTGCTCATCACTGTGGGTTAAAAAAACTTTAATTCTTCAACATAACAAAATGTACTTCCCCTTGAAATAGCCAATCCAATTTAATTGATGGACAGAAAAAGAGTTTCACTGATGAAACCTGTACTCACTGTTTACATTGTATGGAATAAACAC